TTTCACCAAGCCGACACAGAACCAACCATTGATTTTCACCATACCGGTCCTTACACAAGACTGACTCTCGCATTGAGGGCTTCCGCAGCAGCTCGGTTGACATCACTTGCTTCCTGGAAAGCCCCCGGAGTTCATCTGGAACCATTGCAGCCAAGGCCTCCTCCTCCTCCTCTTCATCTAATCTAGGACTCTCCTCATCCACATTCGGGTCCACATCTCCTCCCTTTGGTCCTTAGGTGCCGGGAACCAACTGGGCCCAGCAAGACAATCATTCTCCTTCTCAACCTCCCTCGATCCTCCTCAATTCTGGAGTCCTGGAGACGGGCCAAGAACAAACCCAACGCCACGAAGGGCTCTGCGACGTTCCTCCCCTAGCTTTTGTGCTGGCCCACAGTATAGGCTATGGTCGTCCAGTTTGGGCCTCCGTACCACGGCATGGTCTCGTGCAACTTCTTCGGGTCAACCTGCGCAATTCGATTTTACACCTGCAGTACACAACCCTCACAGCGGCATCGGTTCCGGTTTGCATAGACTCCACCAAACCCCGCATCTCTCCAACTCGCCAACCGTAAGCACAAGCATTTTGGAGTTCCTCGCGTTAATTAAGGCGGCCCTGATGTGCGTCCGTGCAAAGATCCTCCGCTACCGTCATCGAGGTAGCGGAAGTTGTTTTTCCACAGTGACGCTCAAAAGGTTCATGCCGCTCGGCAGCCGTGGTACGACCAGTCCATGGACCGGGTGCCCACCTGATAACATGGGTTGACGAGGGGCATGGCCCTCCACTGCGGCCATTGCTTTCGGGTCTTCGGGAAGTTCTCATTCTGCAGAACCTCCGGGCAGATCCGGGCAGTCGTTCATGGAGTAGCATTGCTCACGAAGATACTCTCCCGCTAGATCACTGCGCCGTTCGATCTCGACGTAAATTTCTGACGATGCCTCGAAGGAGGTTGCGGAAGAGCATCTCCTCCAGGTTGAGGATCACCATCCTCAGCTGTCGGGTCATGACAGTTCCCTGTCCACCTGGCCCTGAACGGGCAGGGTACCTAGCTCGTAGACTCGTAGCCAAGGAGCTTGCAGGTCAAAGCGGCCTCCAATTCTTCGTGTAATTACATGGTATTACATGCAGATCGGCTCCGAGCTATCGTCGGGGGCTTCCTTCCAAACGCCAGCGCCTGGTGTTGGGCAATCACAATTTCTGCTGCAAACGGGAACCATGAACGAATCATCTCATCATCGGCATCGGCAATCTCCTCCGCTTGACCCACTCTGGCCTTGACGTATTCAACGACCTGCCTCGCGGTTCCGTGCCAGCTGGATCCGAGCCCTGGATGCGGATCACCTCCATGCCCCGCACTGCGGCCCAACAGTCATGCAGTTCACGGGCTGGGCCCATGTGTACTTGTCATTTGCACCGTGGCAGTGCATTGCGGCGCAGCTGTACGTACAGTTTTTGCACCGCTCGATCAGCATCCGTCTTCTTCTTGGACTTCATCGGTCTCACAAGATACACCGAGGAAACTCAAGCGGCTTCGCGAGCTCCTGAATTAATGAGCAGGTTCTTCGTGATCAGGGTCTCCCGGGGCTTCAACCTCGGCTTTATCAACTTCACGTTCAACATCATGACCTGGTTCCTCTTCATCCATGGTCCAATCACATCCATCATCAGGAAGAGACGCCGGACATATCACCTCCTGCTCATCTGCCTGGACATGCAATACACCTGGCAATTTTCGAAACTGGTAGCAGCCGAAGGGCAGGTATCTGTATCGTCCGGCTCCGGTTCTGCGAAACGGACCAGCCGCACCAGCGGCTAAACTGTGCCGAGGGATGGGGGGATTCTTCGGTGTGGCCGTCTGCCGGCACATCGAGGCAGACCCTGCTAAAAGGTAAGTCATCACGTTGACCTTATCAACGAAGGCAGCAGCCCCTCGCGTTCGCGAAGGCCCCTCCAGGAACGCAAAGCTAACTCCGCATGGGCCAAGCTGAGCTGTAATAGTCCTTGGCCTCGAGAGCACCCAGCTTGCATCCTTCAGGTCCCTCAGGTTTGGGTGAAGATCGTAGGCCTTCAATTACCCAATAGACCAAAGAAGTCAGAAAAGTTTGCTTTGGCTTCGTGGGCAAATTCTTACCACGTGGGCAAGTTTTGACTTTGCAGCGTCGCTTCGTTTTTTAACTTTACATTTTGCAAAGCGACTTTGCAGTTTGACTTCGAAGCCAAAGTCAATTTGTGTCATTTTGATTTCGTGGGGAAAATTAAATTGATTTCGTGGGCAAAAGTTTACCACGAAGTCAAAACGAAAGAGCGGAAGTTTCCTCGAAACTTCCCCTAAACTGCCGGCGCCGAAAACAAAACTTCCACACAAACTTCCTCGCTCGTCTTGGCAAACTGCCTCTGTTTCGGGTGGTCGTTTTGTAGGATTTAGCACACAGCAAGCAAGTTCGCCAAAATAGAGACATCTACAGTGGTTTTTTCACGTGTATACTCGCTTTGGCACTTCGGAGGGCAGTGTTCCGAGGCCAAATTTCGAGGCACTTTGAAGGAAGCTTGCGAGGAAGTTTGGTGGAACCGTAAACTGCCTCAAAACTTCCGCCGACGCCAGAGGAAGTTTCGATGAAAGGAAGTTTCGAAACTTCCTCGCCGGCGTTTTAGACTTCGGCCTCTTCATTTTGACTTTGGCGGCGAATTTTGCCCACAGCGTCAAACCAAACTTTGACTTCGAAGTTAAAATTTCTGCTTTGCCAAAGCTAAAACAGGCGAAGTCAAAAAAAATTAATTTTGGCTTCGAACTCAGAAAGTTGACTTCTTTGGTCTATTGTGCAATCACTCGCAGGACCTCGCCTATGACCTCCTCCTATGCAGAAGTCTTCCACATCGAGGACTGAAAGAAAGACAGCCGACGACAGCGTCTGCTCCATGGTTCTCCTTCAAGCGTTGCCCAGCGGCAGCAGGCCCATCGAGAGCGCGACGGGCCGGCCCACCAACGATCGGCTTGATCTTGTCGTTCAAAGCAGCGCATGGAAGCACCCTAAACACAGCTCCTCGCTGTCAGCGACTTCGAGGCCGCAACATCGACATCGACTAGAAAAAAACCATTTCCATCTATATAGCACCACATTTGACAATCCACGCTTCATTGTCGATTGTTCCTTGGCCTGTCGCGTACCTTTTCACTTGAGAAGAGGTTCACAATCCAGCCGTCACCCTGAAATAGTTCTTCTTAGCCCTCGACCATGGCGGCCTCTTGCTTGAGTAAGTTCCAACCATACTTCGCATGACGAGGAATAGCTTCAGGCAAGCCAAGCAAGGCTTCCGGCCGCAACGAAGCACACGCTGGGCACCCATGCACGAAAGCCGCCATCGAGGTCGTGTCCCAGTTCTTTTTCTGAATTCATGTAGAGCTCGAGGGTGTCGTTCCCAAGACCAATCAGTTTCGCACCATCTTCACCGGGCCTTCAGATCCTCGACGGTCCTTTCAAACTCATGCATCCGAGCTGTTCCAGCTCCGCAATCAGCGAAAGATCCCACACAAACGACAGTAGAGTTCCCTCCTCGGTCTGGGGGAGGATTGCACTTTCCTCCCCACCACCCGCAAGCACTTCCTCGCGGCTCACTCGACCGACGAGGCCGCGGTCTGAAGCTTCGGCGAGCTGAGGATTGGCGCTCGACAGTTGGGGTCGACGCACCACTTCATCAGCAGCTTCGTCGATTTGGCCCGGCGCCTGTCAGTCGACTCGGCGGACCTCGTCGTGTACGGGAATGATCTGCTGTACGCCTATACTGCTACTGAGTGGCAATGGCCGTACGGTGCCCGTCGCACTGAGAGACCTTCTTGGCGACACCGATCGGTGTGACCTTCTGGTACCACCTAGCCATGGCGGCTGGGTACTATGTCGACGACTTCAACGGCCTGGACGAGCGCCTGCGAGTCAGCGATGGACGTCGTGAGGCTCGACTGTCGCGTGTGCTATGATCACGGCTTGGTGCCGTCCGCGGTGGTTCATCAAGATCTTCTCGACGAGGCAGGCGTCAGGCATACATCTACATGTTGGAGGTTTTTGCCCAGCCCGTCGCCACCTTCGTCATACCAGGCTGCTGCGACGGTCGTCGCATCAAGCAGCCCTGACCAAAGGGTATTGAAAAGACCCAGCAGGGGGATGATGTCGGCTTTTTCGGCGCACCGCGGCAGGCTTGTCGAGTTCTCCCATGACAAGGCCTCCGTCGCCGACGCTGTATCTCGCCCCGACGACTTCGGCCAGGCTCGAAGAGAAGGTTGGACCAGGGTCCACATGCGGATTCTTTTCAAGGCGGCCGACGGTTTGGAGTATGCAATTTCTGGCCAGCCACCGGCTTGAAGACATTCGGGCCATTTTTGGGGGCTCCTTGCTCATGTCTTTTCTGGATTCCAAACTGTGCAGGCCTTTTTTGTGACCGCTTTTGATTTGCTGTGTTTCTCTGACCGTCCCCTGAAGCCACGCAGAATTTGATGCCTGGGCTCATCTGGGCTCGCTCGCCCACAAGAACCGCAGGTGACGGACAATGCGTTTTGTTCCTGGGGCTTTGCCCACCCGGAGCTTTGCCCACGCCATCTCTCAAAACACGCCACATTCCCTTTCTTGATCCAAAACTGTGATTGCCTGTTTGAACGCCTACTCTTCCTCCATTCCCCCACCCCCCCCTCAAAACGTGGAACATTCAATTGCTTGGTAACCCAAAACTGTGTTTGAGCGCCAGTTTGGGGCTTTCCCAAACATCCCCTTCGAAGTTCGTCATTTTCTGCAGTGCAAATTAATCAATGGACCCATTACTGTGCGCTTGATTTTGGGGCTCTACTCTACTCCTACGCCTACCCTTGTCCACCTGATCCACGTGATGGCATGACTGTTCCTGCCCTGCCGAAGCAGTCGGGGCTTCGACATACTTGTGTGTCAGCCGAGAACAACGAACAGAGCGCTAGGCCTACAGCTTTATCAAATGGGGGCCACAAGCTTGTTCGGCTCAGGCTTGTGACGATGGGCATCTTCAATGTGATTCTGGCAGTCTATGCTGCTCGGTTTAAACAAGGTCGATCCTACGACACGCTGCGACATGACACCTATCAAGGGTCGCCCATGGATTCGACACGATCTCTGCATCAACCGGATCGAACCCGTATAGCTCGATCCTGCTGCATGCTTTTGGTTTTTTATCACAACATCGAGGTTGATTAGAGCTGCGAAGGCTTCAGCTTGCTTGTGTCAATGATGTTCGGTGGATGAGTATCCAGAGGGGTCACAGGATCCGAGGTCGGAAGGTAACCGTCAGATTTTTCAACGGTATGTAGCCCTGGGAGCATGGGGCCGCAGGTGGATATCACCATGAAGGCTGCCAAGGCTGGTGCTGGGTTGATGCAGTGCGTTTGTGGTTTTCGTTTGGCCTCTACCCGAGAAATGGTGTTGGCGGTCCTTTTAAGTGCAGTAGAAGAGTTGTGGTGAGGTAGCACTCGTCGCCCATGTAAGTCACTATTCTGTTTATAAGTTTGCAGTAGTCTCCAAACAGCAACATCGCCTGGAACTCCTGCAGGCCATAACGTCTTTCAGGCAGACAGTTTTGCTTATCAAAAGGTTTCGGTACCTTGCAAACCTCAGACCCGGATTTGTTCGTTTCTGGGGGTGTGCACGTCATGGCACATGCCTCGGGCGAATGCGGGGTTCATAAGTGGCCCGTCCACGCACCAGGTGTCCCTGCCTCATCTCGACACTCTCAATTAACAGACTATAGGTGCTTGTTCTCCACATTAGAGCCGCCCACCTTCAAATGTTTTGTGTCTTTAACGCCTGCCTCTACCCTTGGTAGACTTGGTGTGACTGCTCTCCAGCCAACAGGCATTCAGGATAGATGCTCCACTTTCCAAAAGAAACAATCAGTAGCCATGTCATCAAGCAACATGTTGGCCTTAACCGTGCTCGTGCCAGGAAAATGAGTCCTTGAATGCAGAGCAGTACTCGCGCGAATCACTCCGCATCGCTCGATGCACTCGTGAACTTCTCAAAAGAGCCCAGGTGAAATACACCCACACGGCTTCAGGAATCCGACTTGCTTGTAGTTTGTGCAGGGAGCTTCGCTCGGAAGATGTTGCAGTGTGGGGATCTGGAATCATAGCGCCTGCTCTTCGGTTAGAATTCTGACAGATTCAAGACGATCTTGATGCTTGCGACCATACTTAGACAGCGACACTAGGGCGGAAAGATTTGATGGTACCGGGCTTCCGTTCCCTCAGACGCACAGAGATGAATCGTTTGGCCCAGAGACCTCATCGACCGTTTCGGAGTGTTTCTGCCATGGAAGAGATCACATTTCGGCTTGTACTTTTTGCTCCTAGAGAATCAGCAGCTCGGCATCATCTAAGCTAACCCGAAAAGGGGCCGCCTTGATCCCTTCACTGCAAGACGTTGTGTGGGAGCCTCACTTGGTAGAGTCCGAGGATTCGCTGCAGCGAACCACCAGTTTAATGAGACGGAAGACCACCACGTGGACTTCACCAGCTTGAACCATGCATCGTACTCCTCACTCCTCACCGACGACGAGCTTCATGAGGTTGGGGCTTAATCTCGCCTGTGGAACGCAAGGTACCCTACGACTTCAGAAGTCACCAGCAAGCGCACTGTCCTTTGCAAAGCCAAACCTTCTCCACCTCGCACGGTGAGTCCGCTACGGTGGCTTCCAAAACTGCGCACTGTCTTCAGAAGGACATTGCGATCAACAAAGAGCTGTTCCTCATCATGCTGCAGGACAGAGAACCAACGCCAAGCCAAGCGCGGCGGCTGCTGTTCAGCCATAGCCCACATGCAGCTCGATATGCAAGCCTAGACGACAACTTGAGTTGCAACGAGCTACGGTACATGCAAGGTCCAGGGTCCCAAACATCTCGTCACATGCGATCGCAGGATCGTGGGGTCCACTCCTTGATGGACGAGTTGGACATTCCACCTGAGCGTACCCTGCCAATGTGATGGTTTCGTTTGTGCAGCTTCACAGCGTGGTTTACAGGGTGTCGTGTGTTGCAATGGCAGAGAGGCGTGTCCTGGAAGCTGAAGCCATGTGGCTGCGAATGCCGCGAACTCTAACTCAGTGTGTGCATCGAGACTAGCCGAGGCCTTGCATGTCCGCGCATCGGCATATCCATTTTTTTGCACAACATCTGCAAATCACAGCACTGAAACATAAGGAAGCATCTTGCTGTTGTCTTGTTGTGCTGCACTTTCGGTCCTTCGTCCAAAGTCGGAGGTTCAGTTGTTTCAGCAAAGTCATTTTCAGTGTGTGGCCACGATGTCTCTGCTCAAAGGCCTGTAAACATCACAACGTCGGTCTGGTGTGGAGTGCAGGGTGGCCCGCTGTGCCCGCACGAAGCACGACAGGACGGTTTGACCGATGTCTTGTTCACCATCGGACAGAAGACTAGTGTTCTGCAGCTTGCAGGGGCTCTACGCGTTCGCTGTGTTTTTGTCCGTCGTTTTGGGCACCGAGGCTCGACGGGCTCCAGCGTCAACACTGCAAGAAGCGCGAAGTAGGGAAGCACCTTTGCAAACCCGGCCGACCTGAACCCCGCCTGCGTATCTAAAAGCAAGCACTTTCCAAACACGCCTTTTGGACTAATTACCTTCCGTCTTTCATGGTCAACGACGATTCGGATGGAGACAAGCTTCGGGCGCTGCCTTGGAATTGTTCCATGGTGGATGCTGCATTTCGGTTTTCCAAGACCTGCCAGAGCTTGTGTGCATTGCTGGGATAGTCCGGTCAGCGCGGACCGCTGCTGTTCAGGCTTTGGGGGAGATCCATCCTGTTGGCATGGGCATAGATCCTGGCATTTCTGTTGTTTGTCAGATGGTGACATATATGACTACTGGAAACTTTCATCTGCGCTGGCCCAAGTGCCGGCTCTTCGGTGGAACGAAGTCGATGTGGATTGCATCGGGAAACATATCTGGGAAAAGCTGGCACACTATCTCAATGCAGCTGCGGCTCTGAACGCTTCGCCGGGCGTTCTGGAAGAGGAAAGCCAAGTACTGCAAGGAGTCATTATGGCATCGTCTCGATCTGTCTTTGCTATGCCCTACTTAGGATGGTTGGATTGCCCTGTTGGTTTGTTCTCGCTTTCAGGATATCTGTTCGCCGCGGACGCAGAAGGTACGTGGCAAAGTGTACTTGAGCACATGTACCAGTCGATTCCACTAAACCTCGTCCTTACATCGCGCTGGCCGATCTTTCAGCAGCTAGCAAACGCCAATTTCAAGAGTGCGCGAAGGCCTGGACTCACAGTTTATCCGCGTGCTTCTGCCTTGTACAACTTACGCTTCATGCACATCCCGAAGACTGGCGGCATGACGGTCACTTCCTTTGCTGCAAGGCATGGGCTTGCACTCTGGCTGAACCCTTCCGAAGTCAAACATGTTGCGTGTCAGGCGAAGTTCCATTGCTCCGCCGACTACTGGCCCTTCGTTTCAGAGGATACATTCTGTTTTGCGAGGAATCCTTATGCCCGTGTCGTAAGTGCTGCCCGACATCGCGGCATCACCAATGCAAGCCAGCTCAACACGTGGGTCCAGGTGAATGTCAGGAATGCATGGAGGGATCGCGACGTTCGGAACCACAACATCGTCTTACCTGTGTCCGCATTCATCACGACCAGAAGCGGAGAGAGAATGTGCTCGAGCGTGCTCAGGACTGAGAGCTTGGCCAGCTCGCTTTGTCACTTCCTCTCCCAGCGTGAGCCTTTGCTCGATGTTGCGGCTTGCTCGTCAGAGGTGGAGTTTTTCTCGCGTGAGGGACTGACTCGTCGACACCGTTTGTCCGCGCGTGATCTGTCTAACAGATCCATCGCACTTATCAACAATGTGTTTGAGATGGATTTCTACGAGTTTGGTTATAAGATGTGGATGGGGAGTGGCATTGCGTGAGTTGACATGGGTACATGTGTTTCGAGTTTGCTTCTCGGTCGTGCGCCCAAAGAGGCGATTTGCGTCAGACAGCTGGACTGAGTATGCGTGTGTGAGGGAGACAGATTCAGACACAGAGTGGAAACGATTAAGATCCCCAGAGGCTCGAACATATCAATGACCAGATGCAACGTCAACGCTACATTTAAGAAGTTTGAGGGCTTTAGTTAAACCTGATATCGATTTTTTTGCCTCCAAGCTCGATGCAGCGGCGCATAACAATCAATCGACATCGATATGATATGGCAGCACCTAGGCCCGGGTTTGGGTCCCGGCCACATGTCCACATACATCTAGGGCCGAGGCCAATGTCCGAGAACCCAGTCCTGGAAGGGGGGCCCAGTCTGTTTAGGGTTTTCCTCGATCCTTATACCCTTGGATCGGCGGCCAGTCACAAAGCTTTGGACTGCAAGTTCTTAACCAACTTGTATTTGCCACGGACAAGTTCTAGCGCCTTGTGTGGGGGGGTTGGTAGATCAGCACGACTGAGCCAGAACAGGCACACTGTCATTGAGCTTCGGGCCTGGGATATCGCTTTCCAAACTCAATGTGATCTATAGAGCGAAGCTGGATTCGTATGGGCCATTTCTTGTTGCGGTCGTTGGAGGACAACAAACCCAGCCACACAAAACGCAGCAGCACAGCACGCACCGAGGCCCCGGCCGAGTAGGATCGCCAGAAGTACCTGGGGGCCGGCTTCTTCTCGTTGGGATCCTGATCCTCGTCCTCATCGTCGTGATCCTCGCCCTCATGATCCTCGCCGTACTTGCCCTTTTTCTCGGCCCACTTATTGGCCCACCATTGCTTCCGCTTCTGTCCTCGGCCAAATAAATCAGGAGGGGCATATAGAAATACATATATATATATATATATATATATATGCTCACGCCCCCCCCCCCCCATGATCCACAAGAACCTGCTTCTTGCAAACAGTGGATCATGGGAGTTGGGCAACCTCGGATGCGAAAACACCGCCAGGCACCAATTTCCCCAAAGTTTGCAAAGCTGGAAGTGCGAAAACATCGACAGGCACCAATTTCACCAAAAATCCCAAACTCTGAGCAACTATGGCCCGGCACGCCTCATAGATGCCGGGATTTTGGTGATTTTGGGGAAATTGGTGCCAGGCGAGGTTTTGGCACTTCCAGCCTCACAAAGTTTGGGGAAATTGGTGCCTGGCGGTGTTTTGGCAACCTCGGATGCGAAAACACCGCCAGGCACCAATTTCCCCAAAGTTTGCAAAGCTGGAAGTGCGAAAACATCGACAGGCACCAATTTCCCCAAAATCCCAAGCTCTGAGCAACTATGGCCCGGCACGCCTCATAGATGCCGGGATTTTGGGGAAATTGGTGCCTGGCGAGGTTTTGGCACTTCCAGCCTCACAAAGTTTGGGGAAATTGGTGCCTGGCGGTGTTTTGGCAACCTCGGATGCGAAAACACCGCCAGGCACCAATTTCCCCAAAGTTTGCAAAGCTGGAAGTGCGAAAACATCGACAGGCACCAATTTCCCCAAAATCCCAAGCTCTGAGCAACTATGGCCCGGCACGCCTCATAGATGCCGGGATTTTGGGGAAATTGGTGCCTGGCGAGGTTTTGGCACTTCCAGCCTCACAAAGTTTGGCGAAAGATGCGAAAACACCGCCAGGCACCAATTTCCCCAAAATTCATACAGCTGAACTCTGACGGCCTCCATAGATGCCAGGATTTGGGGGATTTTAAGGAAATTGGAGCCTGGCGAGGTTTTGGCACTTCCAGCCTCACAAAGTTTGGGGAAATTGGTGCCTGGCGATGTTTTGGCAACCTTGGAAAACACTGCCAGGCTCGAATCTCCAAGATTCCTGAGACCTGAATTGCAAAAGTAATAGAAGAACAGCCGTACCATGTACTCATACATGAGCCTTCAATTGCTTCAGTTCCGAACTGTGCTCTTGCTTCTTTCATCAAACAAAGTCCTAGCTGTCGTTAAGATCACCTTTCCTCAATAAAAGAAATAGAAGAACAGCTGTACGTCGTAATACTGAAACTTGCCTGTGTTTGTGGATGCTTTATTATGCGGAGGCACATGTTTGTTAAACTGTACATCATGTTTAGATACTGTGGAGTTCTTGTTTCTGCATCGAAGTAAAATCTTGCTAACCGTTTAAACTCTTGCCCGTTGCTTGAGCAAAGAAGAAGTTTTTCTTGTATTTTATAGTACCTCACAAACTAAAGAAGCTGATAAGCTCCGATATATCTTATCATTACATATAAAGTGAGTTCCCCAGTAGTACTGTCTTGCCAAATTATTTTGGGGTTTCCCTTATTCAAACTCAATACCAGGAAAAGGTACCATTCAGGCGACACTGAGGAACCTCGTAAATGAGCTTTCAATTGCTTCGACTACTGGCAGTACTAACTCTTCTCTCGTGGAACAAAACCATAACCGTAAAGCATAATGAGAAAAGATGTGATTCCACCATTTCTCGGAGGCTATGAAAAGAGGTCTGGAGCTGTTTCATGCTGTATTCAAAGATGGCGAGAGCTATATCACTCTTGCGAGTAGCGCGGTCCAACGGAGCTTGATTATGTGTTCTGAGCCAGGATCGTCTTGCATCTTCTTAATAAGAAAAAACAGCAGATGTGTTCAGAAGAATAACGAAAATGCTTTCCAGATACATGCTTGTCTTAATTCCCACGAAGCGTAACGCGTAATAAGCTCAACATACTCTGCTTGTGACCGAATGTATTTGGAGTGTGGTGGAGGGGGACCATTCTTTCACTAAGCTAAAAGCTCGTTGAGTTCCAGCCACTGAGTTCTAGCGACTGATAAGGGGCTAAGGTGGCTTATTGTGTTTCTATGTGCTGAAACAAGATTTCTAGTGACAACACCACCTGAAAAAGAACAACCATGCTTCCCCTGTCTGTTGAAATTTTGAAGATATGAAGTTGTCCTAGGTTCCCTTGAAGCATGAAGATACTTGGAGGTTCCTTTCCATGTTTGATGGGCAGCACCCCTGTTTAGTGTGGTTACACTGTTGCCAGTGAGCCAAACATACCACTGGCATGTTTGCTTTCACTGAAGGAGTTGTCCTTACCCTTTATGTTATGAAGAGAAGAGCAGCTGTGTCTATTCAAATTGTACATCTTAAGTAGTTTGACAAACTCCAAGATCCAGAACCGGAATCTGGTTTCGGTTTCGGCTTGTTTACACATGATATAAAGGAATGAAACAGTCAGGTATACATGTACATGAAGTGCAGAACACACCGTAAATACCGATAGATTCGGGCTCTGGGATCCAGCATCTTGGGAAAGAAGACTGCACAGGTGTATTGACAAGAAGGCTGGGGTTGATCATGGGGGGGGGTGTGACCATATATATATATATATATATATATATATATATGCCCCTTCTCAACAAAAACACGCACCTAAATTGTCTGCAAAAAAAGCGCCGAATGCAGCCCAAAAGCCACGGTTGGGCTTGTACCGCTTCTGCCTGGCTGCCTGCACATGGTCCACGAACGTCGAGGGGTCCACGGCCCGGCCGCCCCACATGCGCACGGGTTCAGGTCCACATCCGTATTGCAGTAGCCGATCTTTTTGGGTTTTAGGGTTTAAGGGTTTCAGGGTTTAGGGGTTGAGGGTATATAGGGGTGAAAGGATTAGGGTCGAGGGTTTAAAAGGAGGCTGTGCGCAGCCTCCTGCAAATATTTATGCACGAGACCGGCCGCCTCGGATCCTTTCCAAAAACAAGATATATATTATATTAAACCGAAGTACACCAGGAGGCCGGAAAGGCTTCCTTCAGACTATATATAATGCAGCCAAGGCACTCGGCACTGCTCATTAATGCAGACTCCTTCTCGCCAGTCGGAGCCCTCTCCACAGAAGATGCACCTTCGAAGGTACTGTGTCATCTGTGGCTCTCCGAGAAGTTGCCTGGGGGCGGATGCATCACAGCTAACTGTGGCATTGGCGGGAATGGGACCGCATGCACCGGTGCAGCATGAGGCACCGGTGCAGCACCTGCATGTGCAGGAGGCCCGGTGCGGCCTGAGGCCCCGGTGCTGCAGCTGCGATGGTCCCTGTGATATCGGCAGCATTGGGCGAAAGGGAACGAATGGCATCTGCCAAATTGCTGATATCGTTGCTGGCACCGTTTCCCATGATCTGCTACAGCACTCTCGCTAAAATTGCTTCAAAAGCCTCGAGCAAGACTTGCTGCCAGGAGATCAGCTCGGACCTGCCTCTATATCTATCATGCAGGCAGAAAAAAAGCAGAAAAGGATATGCCTCAGATCTGCGAAAACAAAAAACAGGAGGCCGGGGGCACCTCCTCCATCCATCGTGCACGACCAGGAGGCTTCAACCTCCTCGTGGCCTGCGACCGATCGATGCATGCATGCAATATTTGCAGCCAAAGTCCCGGCACACGGGCCTCGCCGGGGATCCATATCGCACCTGGCCAGGGCTGCATACATGCATTGCAGATAATCAACCAGGCACATAAACATGCAAGGCCCACCTGCGAAGAAAGATTCGAAAACTTCAAACCATGCAAATGGCTGCGGCAATAACAAGCATGCAAGAAACATCAAACGTGCAAACCTCAGCAAATCATGCATGCATGCAATGAAATGCACATGGGCACAAGTTTTGCTTCAAAAAAACATGCTCGAGATCGTCGTCCAGCAGTAGCGATTCTCTACCAAAGCATTGGTGTGCTCTGCTGCCACCCAGTCCTTGACGTCCGACTCGGCTTGCCCGGCACCAATCGCTCCAAAGCTTCGTTCATGATCTTTCGGCCTGTCTCTTCCGGGATAAACCTCAAACTGAAGGGGATGAACTGCAGCTTGTTGCCCTGGCACCGGCGGATCGCCAGGGAGGGATGCTTGCGACTTGCAGTTACCTTGTAGTGCGCTATCTCGTATGTGCCAGTATACTCGGTCTCCCCTGCCATCGGTGCAGGCTCCCCAACGGCTGATCGCCCGTAGCCGCTGCAGCCTTGTTCTCAGCGCCATCGGCCTCAGCCGCGGCTGCTGCAGGCTCGGCCTCAGCACCCTGAGACGCTTTGCTTTTCGCCTTGGCCTTGGCCTTCGCCTGTCCCTCTGCCTTCGCTTTGGCCTTGGCTTTCGCCTTGGCCTTGCCCTGTGCTGGCTCGGCGGCTCGGCAGCTGCAGGCTTCTTCTGGATCTTGGACTTTTGCAAAGTGAGATTTGGAACCTCAGAAACGATATTGGATCCATCTGGCCAAGTCGCGATGGCAAATCCACCCGGTCCAGGAGACATGTCCTCCTCGTGGCCACCGGCGGAAACCCTCCTCAATCGCATGTCTTCTCCAACGTAGACGACAACTCCTTGGCCAGCAGACCCAGCAGGCCCACGACTGTGGGGTTTCTTCTTGCACTGGGCCTCACGGGCTTCGTCTTCGTCCGAGGATGATATGACTGCCAGAACAGGGCTGCTCATTCTTTTCTTTGGTGTAGCCGTAGCCACGAAACTGGAGGGATAAGTCTTCAGACTCTGGATCGATGAGGTCGACCTGTGCCTCCACAGCTTCACCTTTCGAAGTGGCTTGGCTGGCGAGCTCGGCACGGACGAGCTCGCACATGACGAGGTGACCCTCAACGATCGCCCCGATCTCGAGATCCGCTTCTTCTTAGTAGGGCTTGGCGAGCTGGCTGCAGCGGCCTTAACCAAGGTCCGGCATAACGTGTTGACATCTGGGTCCAGCTTTTTGCCTGAAGTCATGCTCGACACCTTCTTCCTGCAGTACTGTATGCCTCGGCATATAGCACTGGCAAACTTCTCGCAATCCTGCTCGGTCGGCTTTGAGAATGCTGCTTTCGCAGCTGCCTCCAGCATCTTTTTGCTGGGCCTCAAGGTCAACTTGACCAAAGCAACCATGAAAACTACGCAGTCAGCCACTAGCTTGTCCATGTCTGTGGTCATGAACTTCGTCGCATCCAAGCCATCTAGCTCTGCTTTCAAGAGCTTCCCAACCTCATTTGCCGAGGCAGTGTTTTTAGCACGGGCCGCCGACATGGCCACGATCTATATGGCTCCTTGAGCCGAAAAGCTTGCAGGCAGCACGATCGATGCATGCATGCACTGCATGATCCGGGCCTCGATATGTGTATATATATATATATATATATATACATATATATATGCCATCAACGAATGGAGTGAATATATATATGTATATATATATATACCATATATATATATATATATATATATATATCATATATGTATATATGTGCACCGTCATAAGCCGAACAGATATTAAATATATACGAGTTAAGCCATACCTGCATGGCTGGCTCCTCCTCGATCATAAAGGAGGCACTTGCCTCCTCATGCATGCACGATGTATAAGTTTAAGTTTCAGCAGCCTTAAATAGAAGCTTTTTCCCCTTAAAAACCAGCTTTAAACCAACAAATTCTCTAGTCAAGGCATTATAGCTTAATATTAAGCTTGTGCGCATTATATTTATGAGATCTTCTGTTCAATTAAAGACTTTTAATGCTTAAATCAAGACTTTTGCGCTTTAATTGACAAAATGCAGCTTAATTAAAGAGTTTTATTAATGCGCATTACCTTAATTAAGGGCTTTTGCCTTACTTAGATGCTTTTGGAAGCTCTGGGGATGCAGGTGTTCTCGCAATCAAAGGGCTGGCGGTGCTTGCCGGCTTCCCACCGTCTTCGCAGGCTTGGTCCGCTCTCCAGTTCGATTGGCCGAGGCTGAGGCAGATGCTGCCTCTCGAACGGTCTCCTCAGTCACTTCAGAAGACGAACCCGAAGAAGGCGCCTCCTTGGCCGCCTTGCGGCGGCGTCGCTTGGGATGCCTGCCGTTTCTGAGCAGCGTTGTCAGCAGCAATCAGCGTCTGCAACCGCCTTCCTAGCCCCAGGTTTGAGGTCCACTGATGTTTGAGTTTGAACGTTGAAGCCATGAGGCTGAAGCGGGGACTGAGTTCCCAAAGACTGGCATGAGTCGACATGTGTTATAACTGATAGGCATCAGTCCTGAAGTGAACCATGATCGGCAGAAGCCAGAGTCATGGCACTATAGCATGTGTATAGGAGTAGCCCGAAGGACATTCACTGTCACTGCCTTGTTTGCGTGCTGAAAAGTGTAGGTCGAAGGGTTCATGGCGTTTCGTTGAAGTCTGCATTGAGCTGGCTGGCTATACGTGAGGATCATGGAAGCCCAATATTCCCAACCTACAAGATCAACCAGATCAACAGGTTGTGAGCCCAAATGATTCGCATACACGCTCGGCAAGCGCTGGGACTGCTGGACAGGATGCAAATACAATGGTGTCCAACCACCTTTGAGAGGACGCCTGGACTTGGACAGTGAAGTCGCGGCGCGTGTAGATGATGGTGCGAGGCCTGTGGAGGACAATGATGCTCCTTCGACCTCGGCACCGCAGGGATCGACTTGCGAAACGTCTCAGCTTCATCGTGGACCGGAGGGACAAGCGCGCTTTCCTATACTGCAGATGGGGACTTTCTTCAGAGCCCTCGATCTCCGGTAAGGGCAATGAGCAATGGGACTTCGGAGCTACGTGAGAACGCATCTGGAACTAGAGGAGTATTGTCTGTGATGCGTAGAGCATGCAGTTTCTGCGTTTCCAGCTACAGTTGAGGAGATTGTGAGTGGAAGCGTATCAAATCCTGGAAGTAATCCGGAAACGGTGAGAACAGGAAACAGTGTGGAATATGGTTCGGTGGCTTCGGCTGCTACCAGGTGTGAGGGAATCGCCCCACTCTCTGACGATCAGCTGCAGGGCAATCCTTTGCTGGATGCTCATACAATCAGGAGACTGCATCAATTGCACACGTCCGCCGCACATGTACGGCTCGCCACAACCTCTTCCTCCGAGACCTCCCTCGACTTCGTCTAGTGATATCCAGATGGAGGTTCGCTGACAGCTCGCAGCGAGGCTATGGCTCTGCACGCAGACGACTTCGAGCACAAGTTGGGGCCTTGCTTGTAGAAAACTATGAACTTAGGAGTGGTAACGTTGCTTTGCTGCAAGAGGATCAGGCGTTGAGACTGATTTCTGAACTTGAGGAGAGGAGGCTTCGCCAGTTTGAGGAGGAGGTGCAAACCTTGCAATACAATCTAGAAAGCCTATAGAGAGGCTTCTGGATCCGACAGGCGCCCTGAGCGTATGCGTTATCTGGTTCCAGAAAGGATGCCTTGATTGCCATCATGGCCCAGCCGTACCTTTGCAACGCCAGAGAGGATCTTAAGGCTAGGCTCTCAGAGGCCTTGCCAGGCTTGGATGAGGCAGGTGGAAAAGAGGTGTTGACAGAGATGCCGCTGAAGAACTCCTGGGTTCTACGAATGGGTCGTGCATCTGTGCTCCGGTGGGCCTCGACCAGCTGATCCACTGACTGCTTGGTGTAAGGATAACGGTATGGTTGTGATAGAGGTGGACCTGCGAGCAAAGGGTGGGAAGGGCTGGGAAATGGGGTGCAGCCACTGGAAGGATTGTGACTGTTCTCAGCTCGCCACCTGCGGTTGGTGACGAGGCAGACGAGGCATGCCTAGTCCTCAACCTTCGGCCGCTGTTTCGTTGGTCGTTGGCTTCTGTGACGCGTGGAAGAGGCATTCCTTACACTTGCATGAGCATGCTTTAATGAGCAATGACAGCAATGAGGTCCCGGAGGGATTTGCTGGTCGGCCCACATGAAGGCCATGAAAGACGACCAATCTAAGATAGCCACCAACATGAACACGGGTCCTTTTGATGACCTAGCCTTGACGGGAGAAGTTGACCACGTCAGTGAAGGCCGTGTATGGTCTGATATCTTTCGAAGATCAGTCATTGAGGCCCTGTCAGGCAGATCCCGCAGTCCGTCGGTTGAGACTTTTGGATGGGATCATTGCGAAGGCCTTCGGGCTTCCTCTCTTAGCTCGGATCGTGAGGCATCCCAGGTTTCCCAGTGTGATCAAGATGGGAGGAGATCCTAAATCGAACGCTCGAGCAAGAAAGTGTGATCTCTTCGTCTGAGGAGGAGGAGCCTGAGGGCTTGCCATTCCAGAGCGACACCTTGAATTTTTATTGGGACGACAATGATAGTCTTGAGGGTGAGGCAGAACCACCAGCCATTAGCGAAGTTAAGGAGATGTCTTCGGAATGTTTGGATGGCTGGAGGCGTCACATCCTTAATGGACACACGCCTTACAGAAGGGATTGCAAACAGTGCATAGAAGGATCGGGTTTAGGACCTTTCCATCGCAAGATAAGCCGCCAGCGCTCCTTTGCATTTTCCATCCACTTACTCGGTCCAGTGCCCCAAGCTGAAGCAGGACGTGACGAAATCTGCATAACAGGCAAATGCACACTGCGGTACGGATTGGTCGGTGCGTTCCGGGTGCCAAGGGCTATGTTGGAAACTCAGCCCAAGCTAGATGGAGCCGGGGATTTGTTTAGGTCTTCGGATCCGGATGTGTTCCAATTGCCGGATGATGCAAATAATGAGAAATACCAGCCTTCGGAGCCAGGTGAAGAGTTATTTCCGGAGCTGTTTGAGTCCATGCCTGATCCTGGACATCAGGAAGAGGCACCGCATATCCAGGTTGCAGGCCTTGCCAACGAAGGACTCCCACGTGAAGGGTTTGCAGTATGATGAGGAAGGTTTGAAGACCTTGTGGTGAATGAGAGTTGAAGGCACCAGTCGAGCAAGTCGTGCTTCGATACTTTTTGCCACTGAAGACCAAAACATGTCCGGAGGTGACAGAGGCAGTCCACCAGATGAGCCTGGGAGTAAGTAAGGATGACCCTGTTAAGAGTGTGCACCACGATCTGGGACGGAGTTCGCAAGCGCAGCACTTTCACGCTGGTTAGCGGACAAAGGTGTGAGAGTCGAGGTTATAGAGACTAATGAAACAGAGGGTCTCAACTTGCCTATCCTATAGGAAGAGGAGCCTCCGTTGCCTCCTCCAGCTGAGGTGCCAGGTGCAACACTGCAGGATGAAGTGCCCGAACGAAGGGTAGGAGGCAAGTCAAGGGTGATGTTTGTTGACCTTGATGAGGACATTGATGATGTGGAAGTGTGTGGAAGGGCGTATCTTCCTGCGACTTCTCATAGAACGCAATCAGAAAGGTTGGGGGAGACTCGAAACTCAAGAGAAACCTGTCGACGTAGGAAGTCATGGAGGAACCTAGTCACCCAAGGCCTGCGCTGGCTCAAACTCGTAACACCACGCTGGCCTCCATGGCAAAATGTTCCAAAGACAAACTTCCCTTCGATATCTCCCCTTGGGGCTCCCGAAGGTTACCCTTGGAGCCGGCCCTTGAGTGGTCGTCAGTGATGGTTATGCCATGCATGCTTCCGAAGCTGAGACCCACAAGGATGTTCGAAATAAGCGGGACTCATTGGATCGCGTGTTGTGTGTTCCAGGGGGTTCGTACTTGCATGTTGAACCACGAGCACAGGCAGGTCAGAGGTCGGAAGGTTCCTCTGGTGCAGCTGCTCACTGACCCATGGCGTCGTGAGTTTCAATGCCCGGTTGCCCCATTCGGTTCATAGATGACACGACTGATTCATTGTAGGGTACACACCCTGGGAACTAAGAAGCTAGGTGAGTAGTCAAAAAGCATGTGAAAGGTCACTCAGGCCATCCGCTCAATACCCTAGCCGACCTTTCTGCTAAGGAAGCTAACCGTTTCGGACATTAGAGTAGTCAAAAAGCATGTGAAAGGTCACTCAGGCCATCCGCTCAATACCCTAGCCGACCTTTCTGCTAAGGAAGCTAACCGTTTCGGACATTATCGTACTCTCTACCGTACAGTCGACTACACTAAGGTTTTTCTAGTGACGTCCCATCAAAACCCCCCGGACATCCACAAATGGCTGTGAGCCCTATCTGACCTATACCATGACCTTTTTCAGCCCTTGACATGTTTCTTGTTGACTTTGCTTTCAGACACCACATGTCATATGACAGTTTGACCTTTTAGACGCCACATGTGACATGACAGTTCTGATGCATTGCTGCACTCTGACAACTGAATCACAAGCACTTTGCGACAGCCCTGACTCCGTTGAGGTCTTGCGCCTTCCACACCGCAATGCAGTCTGCAATGTGGGGGGGGGGCAGGGCGGTCGCATAATTGTCCCGCTTGCTCCTTTGGCCCCACAGTAGGCCTGACAGGCAGCCCCTTTTGAACCACAGTGCCCCGGCGAGTAGGCCAAACCATGGACCTGCAGAACGGCACACAGCCCCTGGACGTGGAGGCTCTTAGTAGGGCCATCCACTACGGCACCATCTTCCTTCAGAGCCGTGTTGAGATTTCCTTTGCTGTGATTGTGATACTTTCCTGGCTTTTCTGGGTCACTATGAGTATCTGCAAGGGAAACCGGCGAGGAGGGCTGGAGCTCACAAGGCTCCTGCAAATGGTTGGCAATCTTGAGGCAAAGCTGGATCAGATCCCGAGTGCTTCTCTTCCCGGATCTTCACAGGGAGACAACGCATCCCTGGAAGTAGCTCTGCAGTGTGTAGATGCCAAGATCATGGAAGTCCAGAAGGAATGCTCGCAACTACGGCAATACTTCCAAGGAATCCAAGAAGATGAAACTCTTGGAAAGATTCTGGAGAGCTCACGCTCTGCATCCTCTTCGAGCAATGAGGCAAAGAGCATGTTCGAGGAGTGGCAGAAACAGGTCCCTCCCAAAATCAAGGAGATCCACGGCTTCACGAGTGGGCTGGGACAACTGAGCCGAGCAGTGCAGGTGATGGGAGTGGACACCCAGAAGCAGTTCGCCCTTCATGAGACGCTGCTGGATGGGTTGCTCAAACAAGGACGCGAGTCCTTGCATCACATCCAAGGCGAGGAGAGGGCCCAGAGCGACAAGCTCGGCAAGCTCGACATCACCGCGGACGAGCTCAAAGCGATCACGGAAGTCTGCCAACAGATACAGGAGGCCCACACCATGATGCATGAGCAGATTGGCCTCATCCTGGAGAGGACTCCGAAGCTCCCTAAGAGAACGCCGCCTCCGCCGCAAGCGGAAACACCACCAGTACAACCAGTACCAACGCCTACACAGGCCCCGGCACCCTCGGCGCCTCCGGTGACACAGGTGATAGACCCGCCAGGGCAGCCGATTCGCCTGTCAGATCACCTGCAGCCGCTGGTTCGATCGGGTCATGGCCAAGGCCCTATCTACATGGTACAAGGCGATCCGCTCTCGGGATACTCAACACAGGAGCTTCTGAGAGCATTGCTTGCCCGACCAAACTAGTTCATAGTTCATCTTCAACTCTGCTGTACATACCGGCCATCGTGTACTTTAATTGTCGTTTTCCCAGGCTGTGCTTGGACCTGTATGGTCCCGAGGCCTTAATTCACACTCTGCATGCATCTGCACAGTGTAATTTATCTGCTGCATTGTACATCCTAATCCCAACTGCAAACCCTAATTCAACTGCCTGCCTGCCTAAATTGGATTGCATTGTACATTCGTAATTTTTGCATGATATATATTCGTAATTCATTGGGACTCCTAATTGACCTTTAATGAGTCCTGTAACCGTACCGTAGCACACAGCCGGAATGATGAGTAGCTTGACAGCCGATGCCCCGCATCATGAAAAAGATTGCCAATCCCAGTGCGCTCCTGTTGCTTGAACTCCGTAGTGACCTCTGACCGCGTGAGCCACACACATGAGTCTCGGCAAATCAGCTTTCATTTATGTGGCCCCCCAGCCCCACTGGTTCGAGCTTCAGTGTAGCAGCAGGGATGAAGCGTAGCAGATCCGAAAGCCCCGACAATAGCGTACACGCGGCGGTGTCACGTGACTTCCACTTGGAACCAGTTCACTTCGGACTTGACAAAACAGATGTTCTGAGGCTTCCGACTAGGCTTCAAGTGGAGCCTGCAGCTGCACTTGCAGAAACTCTTGCGCATGTTGCCTTGTGTAAATTGGGACGACTGGAGCCAGTGAAAGCCTCGGATTTGGTTGACATTTGGGATTCAGTGCCTGAGAGCTACAAAACTAGGGATCGAAGTAATCCGCAGTCTCGCATACTCCTCTTCGGGTTGAACCCTAGGAAACCTGACTCCCTTACGATTGCTTCCCAACAGTCCCCCAAAGTAGCGCAGGCCCTTGGTCACCTTGGTCAATACGTCCGTACGTATTTCCCCGACTTCACTTTCACCAGTGTTAGCCTACGCCTTAATGCAGACAAAGGCCCACACCGAGACCTTCACAACAACCCCGCCTCCTCCTTCATTCAGGTCCTTACTCCCTGCAGCTCAGGAGGTAACCTTTGGATCGCGCATGCACAGGGAGACCACCCACTGCAAGCACATGGAGTGGTAGTTCAGGGTCGAATTGTTGAATGCACTCGTGAGCCAGCTCTTTTCAACAGCAAAACTGCACTCCATGCAACACAACCATGGTCAGGGGATCGTAGATTAGTTCTTGTAGCCTGGACTACCATGTCATTCTCAGCTGATGCCTTGAAAGTCTTGCAAGAAGAATACCGTTTCAACACACCGACACCGACGCCGCCTCTGGAACCCAGCAAACAGCAGAGCCTACACGCAGTCCTTGCCGATCAAGTTGAACGGAACTCTAAGCTTGAGGATTTTTGGGGTATTGGCAAGACCTTTTCCGTGAGCTCCTCTAGTAGCGACCCCAACATGACTCGATCCGGGCCCTCTGCGAACAGCCAGGAAACGAGTGATCGGGAGGTAGTTGAAGCTGATTCCTTCCCCTCTACAGAAGTCGACGAGCCCTAGCAATAAGCTTAAACCCGCAAACCTGTTCTGACCTTGCCATAAAGCTTGCCCGAAGCTGCAATGTGCAAGCAGTCTGGAACCTGAGAGTTTCGACTGCGCGCTTTAATTTGTAATTCATAATTCTCTTTGCCATACGCCACTGAGCTGCATTGGAATTTGGAATTTGGAGCTGCATTGGAATTTGGAAATTTGGAATTGGGCTTTCGGTTTTGGGGTTTGGACTTCGGACAGCTTGACTTCATCGCACCTTTGCGCTCCCTGACTTTCTGTGCTGTGCCAGACAGAAGTGACCGAGTGAGAGTGAAAGAGAGACATGGGTGACGAATTCATGATGGGCCGTGCTTCGGGTGATGGCGTTCGTTGGTCCCCTCACCGCTGAAATCCGCAAAAAAAACTATAAAAATGGTCCGCTCACTGACCAACGCCAACTAGAGCACCTGCCATCACGATTCCACCCCACTCGCCGTCTCCCACACTGCCAACATGCTCCGGCTTGCTTTGCCCCATACCTGCTTCAGGGCCTCATGAACTATTTGGTTTCCATGGACCATTTGTTGCTTATGTGGTTCATTCAGGGTCAGGTATTCGGTGATGACGAGTGCTCCAGCACCTATATGCCATGGCAATGTCGTTGCCCTATCTGGTTCTGCACATCCCTGCAGCCCATCCGGGTCTGCTGTGGGGAGCCGTTGACTGACTGGGAGCTTACAATACCAACCGTCATATGCCTGGGTTTTGCTGGAGAACGTCTAGCTCTGAATGGATTTGTGCTGATACTCTCGGCTTAGCCAACACTGCCCTGATCTGCAGAGAAACACAGCTGCTTCTGGCCGCTTCTCTTTCAGCTGGTGGCGTGGACTGACTGTGTTTTGATTTATTTACATATCTGCGAGGCCGTACAGGTTGGCTGACGGGCACTATTGGTTGCGATCATCCAGAGCAACAAAGATTCTCTTGAGCAAACTGGGGTGTAACCTCGACATAGTAGCTGCTTTGGCCTGAATGCCCTTCGCTTGATGGGGATTCAGGCCCTAGCGCTCTTATCGCTTGCATGTGGATTTAATTTGGGTCGGATGCAAAGAGATGGAAATTGACTACGTGCTTGACACAGTCGGTGCAGCTGCGTGCGTGCATACTTACAAATTGTTGGCTCTGAACTCGGCATTTTGCTGGAAGTAGTCTTTCAAGCCAAACAACTGCATGGGGTCTTCGTGCAAATTGGTATATGGGAATGGGCTGCTGCATGACTTTGCGAAGAGAGCGAGGAGTGCACACTGCACGTTACAGCTTTGCCTCACTGTGCAGGACAGGTATAATTCACACACGCAGGCTGGAGGTTGTGGCACTTTGTCGAGAGGACGACTGCAACAAAACTGGCTAGACATCGCACTCGGTATACCGAAGCTGTATCCGCGAGTGACATTGTTTTGAGCGGTAAGTCATAAGTCACTTGCAACTCGATCCCTTTTTGCTGTGAACATCACGGCATGTCCAGCAGTTCAACCAAGACTCCCTGCAATGCGGGCTTCGTCCTTGCTAGGTAGGAGGGAAAAAGAAGCTAGGTTTTTGAAGACCGTACCTTGCGAAGGGACTTTGGTTACAGGATAGGAAAAGGCAACACTGAGACCGCGCTTGTTCGTACCAGGCAATAGCACATCGCTTCCCGACCTTGAGCCTGTGGGCGGTGGTCCCGGGCAACACTGTAACTTGCCAGCGACCACCAACTCCCTTTCGGGTTGTAACCTTGATCAAGATGACCAAGTGGATTCCGTTACGCCACTGATTGGTTGGGATCCTTCGCAAGGAAAGGGTCATAATTACCCAGTGCAGAATCTAGAGGAGACGGACGAACATGCAACAGTTCTGAAGGAAAGGGGTGTTGGATGGACCTGTCGCAGACTGGTGACCCTTGGAGTGGAGCAGGCTATAGTCACTTAGCGTTTCTGTTTCAAGAAGATTTGATAGAGTACCGGGTACCGCCGCAGGATGCCCGACGCATCACGCAGGAAGAGCATCCATCGGGAACTGTGCGTCCTGACCATCCGAACCTTTCGTCGTTGACGACTGGAGAGGTCCGGTTGATCGACAGGCAGCAAAGGCATTTGCCCTGGATTTAGAACCGCACCTTGGGACTACGCTCGCCAGGAGCGCCTGTAGCTGGTTTGGTTGTTAAAGATCCCAATCAACCTGATGACGATCCGTATGATTGGATTGTCATTGAAGAGCGAAAAAGAAATGAAGAACGCTGGATTGCCTACACGGAGGTTCAGGGTGCATCGGCCAGTCCTTCCGACCCACATCCATTTTTGTGTGCAAAGTCTGTGGATTCCCATTTTGCACACGTCAGCAATCCAGGCATGCCGCAGGTCAAGAAGGCCAAGGGGATCTGTGGTTTCAGGACTATGAAGGTTATGCTGACTACGCGATGGCCATGGAGGCTATGTGGGATGAAGAAGAGGATATTCCTGACGTGAAAATAGTTAGCCTTAGTTTGGAGGTGGAACGTCCACCTTTGTGTGCAGAGTCGGTGGATTCCCCCTCAGCACAGGTCGCCAGCCCTACCAAGCATTGCAAGTGTGACACCAGCGAGGTCAGGTCTCCAGTATGAAGGCTTGACACAGGTTACAGCTGGCCTAGCGGTCCCAGGAGGAGACACAAGACAAGGAACAGCCGGTCAGAGTAGTTCGCAGTGAGGACTCATACTTGCAGCAGGATACTTCAAGGTCACAGGTCGGCATGCCAGCTAAGATAGGGGTTCCAACACTTAGGGTTGTGAGTGTTGGAGATGTGTTCAATGAGTTCGCTGTGATAGACCGACCCGGGTCTGCTTCTAAGCCGCCAGAGGTACCATGTGCTATCAATAGGGTTGATGAAGACTTCTTCACTCCTAACGTGGAAGAACTACTTCAATGATTGAAGTCTCTGTTGAAGGTTGTGCATAACGTCGCCACAAGTGAGGTTAGGAGGCACCTTGAAGCATGGAGACCCTCGGCAGTTGATGAAGTTGATGCACCTGAGGGCATGGAAAGTATACGCAGACTTAGGGGGCAAAATGCCATTGAGGCTGCATCCGCTGGAGGTGCGCAGATTCTTCCAGCCAAGGCCATCTTTACCGTTATGCCGGGATCAGGTGATAAACGATTTCTGCGAAAATGCCGAGTTGTGGGTGCGGAAATTCCGAGAAGAAGAATCCGGAGTTGGAGCTATTCGCTTCAGGAGTGCCGGCAGAGGTCCTGAGGGTGTGCCTAGTTGAGGCCGCCTACCGAAAGCTTTCTGCATGGATTTCAGACATAAAGAATGCCTTCTTGCTTACTCCGATACCAAGTGGGTCGAGGGCAGCGGCTAAGATCTTGTTACAGCCTCCGAAAAGCCTAGGGCCTAGAGCAGCTTAACATAACGGTTGAAGGAGAGCTTTTGGGAGGTGTGTCGTGCGGTTCATGGGCTTCGCCAGTCGCTTCGATAGTGGATCCCATATCGCGACAGAGTGCTGAGACGGGCGAGCTGGGTCGGCACCCAAGGGGTGGCTCGGCTGATCCAGTCGTCCGTAGAATCCAACCTTTGGAGGGTCGAAGCCGAAAGCGGCGTTCGAATGGGATTTATGATCGTGTACGTAGATGGTCTGACGGCGCTGGCCGAGTCTGGAGATGCAGATCAGGTGTATGCCTGGGTTCGAGCTAGATGGCAGTGTACCCCCTAGAAGGGGCTGAGGGTGACGTTCCGATCACTTTCCTGGGTGTCGAGATCCACGAGCACCTTACGCCTGATGGAGAGAGTGGTTTCTCGCTACCTGAACTGGTGCCAAGGCCAGAGGTCTGAGGTACGGGTTGCTGCTGTGAGGGCAGATGATGATGAGCATCAAGAGAGGAGGTTATAAGGAGACAGGAGTCTGTGCGCAGGGCCATAGTAAGTCGTGAAACTGAAGGTTTGAGGAGGAGACGAGGAAGAGATGATGTTGAGGTTGATACGCTCATGTGCAGGTTGAGGCACCGTTGCCTCCACCACTACCGCCACCTGAGAGGCGGTCACCTGAGCCGCCAACCTCATCTTTAACCTTACCTTCCGTCGCCGCAGCGACCCGGCCGCCCACCTGGACTTTCCATGCCAATTTACCTTTGCCTCTGGTGCAAACTAAAGGGTTGGTTGGGGGATTACCGGCTAGAACAGAGGTTGCTATCCAAACCGAGGAGCGTAGGGGCTGTCTCACACTGAGTCGTGCGAACTTCATGTTCTTACTACGACATCTAGGACCCCTGGAGCTGTGCATGTCTTTCCTGGTTGTCAAGCGCTACGAGGTGTGAACACCCATCGCCGGCAGTTCTGTAGATACTGCCTGCAGGCTGCGATTTAAAGTTGAGCCGGTGTATCCTTAAAGGAAACACTCGAGCAGGAGGAGTGTTGAACTCCCTAGCTCCGCAGACAGTCGTGGTTAGGTTTGAGGTCCACTGATGTTTGAACATTGAAGGCTGAAGCAGGGACTGAGTTCCCAAAGACTGGCATGAGCCGACATGTATTAACTGATAGGCATGAGTCCTGAAGTGAACCATGATCGGCAGAAGCCAGAGTCATAGCGCTAGCATGTATAGGAGTAGTCCGACGGACATTGGCTGGTTTATTGTTCGCGCGCTGAAAAGTGTAGGTCGCAGGGTTCGTGGCGTTTCGTTGACGTCTGCATTGAGCTGGCTACGTGAGCATCATGCAGCCTTGAATAATCCCAACCTACAAGATCAACCAGATCAACAAACCTTGGTAAAGGCCGTTGGCCCTTCTCCTCGCTTCCGGAACAAGAACTCATTCATCCACGCTCTGAGTAAGCTCTGTCTGTCTCCGGCAAGAGGCGGTAGTGGACATCCAAGGCTGTCAAAACCTTTCTCCATCCATCAGCTGATCGAGGCTCTGCCACACTCACAAGTGTTCCGTCGCCCTCCAAGCTTCGCCCGAAATCTTCGTGAAAATCTTCGGACCAGCTAGGCGGATCTGATTTTCCTCGAGGCTGGCGACGGTGAGGAAGATTGTCCGCTGAAAAAAACCTAGAGAAGGATGGTTCTTGAAGGAATGACGAATCGGCGGCGGCAAGGAATCCTTGAGCTCGTGGCGAGCTCCGCTACCTTGAACGAACCGACGGGCTTGAACGATCACTCGCACCTTTGCCAGGTGCGCACACGCACCAGCTCCTAGCTAATACCAAAGGCCCTCGAACCGAAAAGCCGTCGGAGAGCACATGGTTTCTGGCATGCCCTAGGCCCTAGCTCTTCCACTTCACAGCGAGCTCATGCTGACATGTCGTACCAAGGATGCTACGGCAAGTTTCCAATATTGGGATTCTGCTTCGTTTTCATCTTCCAGGCATGCTTCGGTTTTGTGTCCGTGGCTTCAGACACGAAATGTTCTGCACGAAGATCCTTCGGACCCGAGAGCTTGTGACTGAAACCGCGGAGTGATTGTTCGCACTTTCGCCACTCCTTGTCGGCAAAGCCTCCGAATCACAATCGCCAAACGTGTCTTTTGTCAGCCACCCAGCCACAGGAGTCGGAGGGCCGGTCTGAGGCTTGCGACGGGGACGGTCGTGAGATCGCATGAAAGCTTCTTCCAGCATGGAGTACGACCAAATTGGCAGTTGGACCAACACGTGGCTGGCCACCAGGAACTAAGATTGTGCGTGTGGCCTAAGTTAGGATATAGATGTTAGTAACCCCCTTATAACCCCGCTGTAACCCCCTTACATCTTTGCCATCCATGTAGTAAGTCCCTACTAACTTGGGGGAAGTTAGTAGAAGGTTGGTTGGAAGAAATAGAAGTTACTAACTTAAGTTAACTTTTTAGCTAACTTATTCTAACTTATGTTAACTTATGTTAACTTATTCTAACTTTTTTTGTTTTATGTCGGTTTTGTGTTACATCGTTTTCGTTGTTTGTCACTGATGCTGTTCTTTTCTGTGCTCCACAAAGATAAGAGCAGATGCTATGGGCTTAGGGGGTTCAGGTGTTTAGGACCACCACCATCACCAGCACCAGCACCAGCATCAGGGTTATAGGGTTTAGGGGGTATAGGGTACGGTGTGGAGTGTAGAAACACTATCACTATCACCACAGCATTCACCAACACCAACACCACCGCCGCAGCCACCACCACAACAACAACAGCAGCAACAACAGCAACCACCACGACAACAACAGCACCACCACCAACAGCAACAACAACAGCATGTCTAGGACGTTAGGAACACCACTAGCGCATGTTTAGAGTTCAGGGTTTAGGGGCTTGGGTTTGGGGTGTAGGGCTTGGGAAACCTCCGCCAGCACCATCGCCAGCACCAGCACCAGCCCCAGCGCTAGCGGAAGTGCCAGCACCAGCACCAGCACCCACCAGCACTAGCACCAGCACCTAGCACCAGCACCAGCACCAGCACCAGCACCACGGCCGCCGCCGCCGCCCCCACCACCAGCACCACCACCACAGCAGCACCACCAGCACCACCAGCACCAGCAGCACCAGCACCACCGACACCACCATCAGCAACCCCCACCGCCCGCGCCACCACCGCCAGCACCACCCCCGAGTTCATAAAGCCAGGAACCAGGCCGGATAAGTTCAGAAAAAGTTCATATTTCCAGGCCTGAAAAGTTCATAAAAAGTTCATATTTCGTGGCCTGAAAAGTTCATAAAAAGTTCATATTCGAGGCCCGAAAAGTTCATAAAAAGTTCATATTTCCAGGCCGGAAAAGTTCATAAAAAGTTCATATTTCCAGGCCGGAAAAAGTTCATATTTTTAGTGTTTTATTGGTATTTACAATGAATCCAAGCCTGAAAAGTTCATATTTCGAGGCCAAAAAATTCATAAAAAGTTCATATTTCGAGGCTTGAAAAGTTCATAAAAAGTTCATATTTCCAGGCCTGAAAAGTTCATAAAAAGTTCATATTTCCAGGCCTGAAAAGTTCATAAAAAGTTCATATTTCCAGGCCTGAAAAGTTCATAAAGAGTTCATATTTCCAGGCCTCGGAATTGGAGCCGGCTAGCACTCCACCCCACCACCCCACCACCTCACCACCACCCCACCACCCCACACACCCCACACCCCCACCCCACCACCACCACCACCCCACCACCACACCCCACCCCACCCCACCACCCACCCCAACCCACCACACCCTACCGCCCCACCACCCCACTACCCGGTGCGTGGGGTGGTGGTTGGTGATGCGGGTGGTGGGTGGTGGATGGTGGGTGGGTGGGTGGTGGGTGGGTGGTGGGTGGTGGGTGGTGGGTGGTGGGTGGTGGGTGGGTGGCGGGTGGTGGGTGGTGGGCGGTGGGTGGTGGGTGGTGGGTGCGTGGGTGGCGTGGGTGGCGTGGGTGGCGTGGGTGGCGTGGGTGGCGTGGGTGGCGTGGGTGGCGTGGGTGGCGTGGGTGGTGTGGGTGGCGTGGGTGGCGTGGGTGGTGGCTGCATGGTGCAGCGCCGAAAATTTCTATGGATGCACTAATCAGCTGCGCGCAAAGTTTTGCTGGGAATGGATTTGCCGCATTTTGGTGTGGGTGGTGGATGGTGGTTGGTGGGTGGTTGGTGGTGGCTGGCGATGGCCACCGCCTCACCACCCGCTACCACCACCCACGACCCCGCCACCCCATCGTTGTTTCTTTTAACCCACAAGTTCACTTTTGCTAACTTATGTTAACTTTCTTTAACTTATGCTAACTTTGTATCTAACTTACCTAACCCCCTAGTAACATCTATATCTTAACTTAAGCCAAACGCACAATCTTAGAAAGGGACCAACCTCGCCAGTGACAAGCATGCGGCTCCACCGCTCTTCAAGGCCTCTGCAGGCATTTTCTGTCTCCAACGTGGAGTGGGCATCTAGCTATTGGGCACTGACACTTTGCAAGCTTGGCAGAACACATGCGCACAGGTCGTTGATCGGCCCATGATTGACAAAAAAGAATCACAAATGCATCTTGGAATGCACATCTTTGCCATTTGCCCTGGGCCCTGCGAGCCCCAAGGGCCGCATGCAGGGTGTGATGTAATACAGCATTGCACATGCAGTGGGGTTGGACGAGATCCGGGAGGTACTGCTGCTGTACTGTTGAGTAAACATGTGTTCCAAAAAGCTATATACGCCAACATGTTTATTTTCCATATGTTGATGTCTGTTATTGCGATAGGGGTGCTATATGCGAGAAAGCGTAAAGTGACACCACCGCAGCATCGACATAGGAGATTGACGTTGCCATAGAAGCAATATGGTCCGGTTGATTCTTTCAATATTCTAGCCTCGAAGCCGAGCTTTGCATAGCATGATGTTTCGGCGTGTCGCAATCTGGGGAGCAGCGGGGTCCAAGTGCGCTACTGGAAGGGAAATGAAGTGCTGCCGTAAGGTTTCTGGCGCAGCAGCCAGAGCAACGTGCAGTAATTAGTACCGTACACAAACTTTTGGTGTGCAATTGTGATGCATGGATTCCCAATCCTCAATAGCATTGCACACAAACTTCAAGGTTCACGGGCTTGCGGTGCTCAGCTGTGATGCAAGTGATGCATGGATTTCCCAAGAAGCTTTACGCATTCGATGCGTGCACCAGTGGTGTAGAGCGGCTTTACGGTTGCCAGCGTTTAGATCCAAGTTTCGTTCTCTACATGTCTCTACATCCAACACGTCGTAAACCTTTTCTCCGAGTGTATAATGCTTTGAAATCGAATACACGTCGGGTCGCCCCTGACGCCTTGAGCAAGAACAAGTGATAGTAGCGTTCCTGTCCTATGCGCCAGTCATGCTCGATCTGGTATGTACCAAGGTGCTCACCTTTTCGAAATCATCGACGCAGATGGCAGCGGCACACTTCAGGTCAGTGCACGGGTTGTCACTTGAACACATGTGAGAACGATCCTGATATTGCAAGGCTGTGCTATGTGCCCGTGTAACAAGTATTTGCGCAGGGTTTTTCGAACCATTTCTCGTCGTTGGGCTGCACAGTGGTCGTACACTGCACTTGGCCCCCGGTTCCCTAGCATTGCTCCCACTTCAAAAAAGGCCAATGATGCATGTGATTTGCAACCAACCGCCCAAGCACAGGTTTTCGTTCGGGGCGCCAAGGAATGCCGACGATGCTAAAACGCACACCCCTTGATTGATTTTATTTGAGACTGAGCATTTGAATGTTTATTCGTTTCTCTTGTTCTGGGCGCAATCTGTGCTTTTGCAACTGGAAGGCCGACGTCATTCCTGTCCGGCAAAGGGGAATTTTTGTGTGGCTTTTGACCAGGGTTGCGCACAAATATTGCATCGATTCTTGGCTGGCAGCAACAGTAAGGGATTGAATTGTGCATGAAGTCAGTTAGACGTGGGGGTTAGATGCTGCACAGCGGTGCGTTTGCAAGCGCCGTCTCGATGGCTGGTGTTTCGTGATTGCTTGTGGCCAAAAGCAGGGCAACTGTCAAATCCCCGGTTTTGCCAGGCACCCCACCGTCCGACCCGGGAGCCCAAGATGTGAAGGAAACCCATGGAGCTAACGTCCCCGTTTGAGGCACATCGAAACAAATTGTGAAAAGAGCCCCCCCTGCCCCATGAAGGCCAGACCCGACGTGGTTTCCGTGCCCCGGCCCTAATCTGCATGTTTAACGACGTCCAGAAAGCCAATGTCCCTTGCACGAAAGTTTCAAGAACTATATAGGGTCCTATGAAAGGAGCCCAGCGCGGAAAGGCTCCAGTCTCACATCGCGTTTATCTACACTTAACTCATCATTATGGCGCAACACGGGCGTGGCATGAACATTCTGCGGATGATGGTGGCAATCACAAGGGCGGGGCAGTGATGATCAGGGTGGTGATCAATATGGTAGTTGTGGCTTGGAAAATTCGGGCACATAAAGACATGATTGGGTTGGATGGATTTTGGGGTCAGGTATGGTCATCATTCGACCCAGACATGGTCCATGATATCAATGACAATGAATGAGGCATCGGCAATATGATGGATGTGTCGTTGTTTTTTCATATTTTTGGCCATGAGTAGTTTAGACCTAGACATGGTCCATGATATGGTGGTGGTAGCTATGACAGTCACCGAGATTCAGTTTACAAGTTTACATTGTTTCTGCATTCTTTTTGCCCACGCACTTCTGCCACCAGTATTTGCGGCGTGAGTGTCGCATCTCTATTTACGATTTGATTGTCGTCATGTCCTTGTTTGCCTCCGGTGCTAGCCCAGGGGGAGGCCATTTCAAGCACAATATCGTTTTATGTTGGTCATCGTCGGAATCACCGTTCCTGGGTTTTGGAAGACCTGGCAGGCAACAGAGCTTGTCCACGGATTGCTGAAAATCCGGGGCGAGATCAAGAAGAGTGACACTGTCGCGCCGCTGTGGCTTTGGCCGCCTTCGAAGCCCTAAACACTTCCAGACGGAAATTGAACAGACAGACAGCAAGTTAACGAGATGACGACGGTTCTCATTCCCAGATCTTCAAGCATCACTCTCAAAAATTGCCACATGTCGCGACAGAATGGTTTGCCCCGCCTGATCAGTAGGATCATTGTCCATGGATCAGTGGGAACGGCATCCAAAGCTCCCGATGTTGTCAGCGCATGCTGTCTTGCATCACTAGAAGGCACTGGAGAAACAGTAGTCAGCAGGAGACGCGGGATCGGATCTGGGAAAGAGTTTCGTGTAGTGAATGCAGGGTGGGCTTCTGGTGTGTCAGGGGCTGTCCGTGGAATGCGACCTAGTGTGTCCAATTTGCCACTTCCCACGGTTGATGTAAGGGATGTGTATATAGATCCAACTTGTCGAGCACGAGTGACAAAAAATATAGATCCATCGGGCCAGTTGCACAGCCATTGTGCGCTTGTCAGGCTGGCAACCAAAGCGGTCCAGAATATGATGGCTGAAATGAAACGAGAGAATGACAGCCTCCGTGTCGAAGTTCTCGGTCACTTGAAGAAGCTGCAGAAAGCAATCCGCCACGAGATGCTTGGCCGAGTTTTCGCAAAGTCTTCAACTTCCTGAACTGGTGTATTTGTTTGCAGTGAACAGCCAACAGGAGTGAACTGAGTTTTGCCTCTGCACATGTGCAGTTGAGCGCGTCGGCATTGGGATTGTTGTTCAATGTGCCACATGCAGACTGGTCTGGAAAGATGCAGGGAAGTGCCACATGTGAATCCGCCAAAGCTTTGGAGTTTGTTCCGATCTTCGACTTCCTGACTGCCTCAGGAGAAGCCATCGCTCGCAGGTCATGTCTGATAACTTCCGCATTTGATTTGAGCAAGTGTGCTGATGCAGCCTCCATATTCGGTCCTTGCGGCTTGCAGGCGAAGGGAGAGGGAGGTAGTCAGGTAGTTGTCAGCATTCAGTGTTCATGGGATACGAACCCAGCAAATCTGCCAGTGCATCAGGACAGCCAATTGTTCATCCTTGGAAGATACTTTTCAAGCCTGGACGCCGAATGGCGGCCATAGAGATGTTTTGGCCGATGCTGTGCAACGATTGCCCACCAGAGAGATTTCTTAAGCCAACCTTAGTGTCGACTTTGAAGGCTTCCTGCTCGCAGTCACGAGTCCATGAATGGTCAAGTGGGCACGTGAATTGTTCTATAGCCAACAGCATTTGCAGCATCCTGCGTGATCTGTGTAAGCCTCGCCTCGTGCCGAATCACGACGGTGAGATTCAGATTCCTTTAATTCAAATTGGGCCGTCTCGTGATCCATTAATGGAGTCCAATAGAAGATAAAGGGCAGAGCAATCGTGTTTTGCCAGCGCCTCGGGGTAGTTTGACCCCGCGGAGGCCGCTTTCAGCCGTCAGAATTTTCACCTGAAATCAAGCTTGACTGCCCACTGCCCACTTCGCAGGACACTTGAGCTCCCACACTGGCATCATACTCGTGTCGAAAAGGTCCATATTACATTAATTGATTATGTCCCGTTGACATCAGCTCACATTGGGGCTCGCGGATTGAGTTGCACCAAATCCCCCCTCGCCACATTGTCGTGTGCAGCACTGTCGTGCTTTCGGAACTTGGACATCGAAGTCGCAATTCGGGGGCAGAAGAGGTTAAGACACCCGAATTATCGTTCGCCGTGGTGCTCGCCATGTTTGTCCGCAATGCTTCGCGTTTGATCAACCCAGGGCTCTCGCTACCTCCGCAGCCAGCAAGCACACATGTGTAGTTCTTCTTTGCCATCTAGAAAACACAGCAAATCGGGGTCGATGCTCGTCAACTTAACGAAGAGGCACACTGATACGTATTCTGGTGCTCTAGTGACTCTAGTAGTGGTGTGAAGCCCATGCCAATGCCACGGATGGTGGCTTGGGATTCATGGTTTTCGATTGCCACGGATGTCTGTTTCCCAAACAGTCCGGTGCAAGTTTCGTGGACACGGCTCCTGCTGTGTTGCACTGCGCAAAAAAAATCGCCTGCATCCCATTACTTACAGCGGATCCGGAGTGCAACCGTGTCCAAGAGAGCCAGATTTTATGAATCCCCTCAGTATAAGCCGTGGTCACGAATCCCGCCAGTTTTAGAGTCGTGGTGCTGGATCCGCCAGTATTCACGGAAACGTATTCCTGCTCGCTACTCCTTATGGATCCCGCTAGAATTTGAGGGGAAGCAGTTTGGCCGTCTCCTCCTGACCTTCTGCTGGTCTTTTCGTGATATCGTCATGATTCGTCATGTTCTCCTACGGTGCTGTTTCATTGTTTGGGAATCTGTCCTGCAATAAGTCAAGTGGGACAAAAACAACATTCAAGTATCGGTTCACGTGCTGTGGGCCCAAGCAGACTGATCATACAGCGAGTTGCACAAAACCCTGCATACTGTAGATTGTACATGACATGTCATGACACCCGACATGCCTTGTACATGCCTGGATTACATGCCTTGCGCATGCCTGAATCCATGCGTTACATGAATTGATTTTGCTACGGCAAGTTGGACTTGCTTGGAGCCTGGGAAGCTGAGTGGGTAGACCGACCATGGCAGCTCCCGGTGTCTTCGAGCATTGTTGCTGTGTCTCGCACGCTTTGCTTGTGCTTTGGCTGACATCGTGGGCCCCTCCCGTGGAACGGTCTTGCACCGGGGACCAGGCCCAAAACGAAGTTGGCTTCTGTCTGTTGGCACTGAAAGGCATCCCACAGTAGGGTGGCAACTTGCGAGCGAGCAAATGGAGCGAAAAGGGGCTCTGTTCTGATTAACCAAAAAGATGTCCACTATTGCTTTCAGATGTTTGTTCTAGTTGCAAGGTCAAAGTACAGGGCTACACTGCTGCGTGCTGGGTAGCTCTGCGTTGATTGTTTGCCTTTGCGAAACCTCCGAGCAGCCAGAGGTGAGCAGGTATCTAGCGCCTGCAGGACTTCTGCAAAGAGGCTTCCAGACTTTGGGGTACAGACACCCTAGTGACCCGGAAGACAACAGGCATAATGTGGATGAGTCTCATGTCGCCAGGTGGTGAGCTCGGCAGAGCTCCTCACGCTGATCGAACTCGCAGGCCGCTTGCCAGAGTTTCTGTTGTTTTGCAGCCGAAGTCTAAGCAGCAGGAAATTCGCACAGATTCCCTGTCTCGGCTGGACCCATATCACTGCAGCCCTGAAACTCTGTCTGTTTGTAGGTTGTCGCGAATTCAATTTGTTTTGGGCGGTCATCTTGGTGAGTTTTGTGTTGGAAGGAAAGCTCCGGGCCACGGCGGCCACCGGAGTCCACGAAGCTAGTCTGCATGCACGCAAAGCCACGAACGCTGATTTGGTGCCGGATGTTTGATGAGTCATGATGAGTCTGTGCCAGGACTCATGATATGTGTTATTCAGCATGCTTGAAGGCACTCGTCGCTAAATGCCTAAGCAGGACCTCCTGTATGCTTTCACGGTTTTGGCTACTGCGTGTTTGAGAGCGGTTGTCGGGGTTGAGTAGCTGGAATGTTGCGTTGGCATATGTTGGCAAGGACCAATCCTCCAGATCTCATGCGCGCCTGCCTCGGTCGCTTTTTCAGAGAGTTGTCACCTATGCCCAATACTCAGTCAACAGTTCATCCGTCGAGGCTTTGCCGCATTTTCGTGGAATGCGGAGAAGGCCGGCAACTTTCCGGTCTGGTAGTCCGCCCAGTATGAGACACACAAAGCACTTGCGGGCAAGATCAGGCGCTGCACTCAAGGAAGCTGTGTCAGTCTTGTTATAGGAGGGGCTGCCGCATAAGTTGGGTTTGCTTGATTAGTAGGTGGCACAGGTGAGACGACTGTCACCGGACATTGCTAGCCATGGCATTTCTGATTAACAGGCAAATCAAGTCGAGCCTACTTTCCCGTCCGAAAGCCTGCAAGTGAAGACAACAGATGACAGGCTCTGCCAGGGCAGTCCCCATGCATCCTTTCGACGATTGGTCTCCTTTAGGTTTTGCTAGGTTTTGAGCTACCAGAAGAGAACACGGCGACCCTAGCAGGCGCCGAGGGCTCCGTGACTTTGGTGGACCTGGCAGGCTCGGAACATCGAATCGACGCTGGCCCGCTTTCTATGCAATCCGTGCATGCGGGACAAACTCAGGTGAAAGGATAATCTAGGAACCCGGCTTCCCTCAAGCAGTTTGCAAGGAGGATTCGGTCAAAGGCTTGAGGTGCCGTTTTGAAGGTTCTTCCCGTAAACTAGAATCAGTGCATGATTTGGCAGAATCTTGCTACGGCAGCAGTTGCGATTTTTCGGCCAAAGAGCAGCTTCTTCAGATCCTTAGATTGGACCCCAGAATGTTGATATCCCACGATGAGAACCTACCTGACTGCTTCACTCTGATGCTGATTCTAAGGATAACGCAGAGCACAACGCCGAACGGAGGACGGGACTAAAGCACAGGCCAAATCTGTATACATTGCGGACCCACAGCTCTGGGATTGCAGGTCCTCGCCTGTGTAGGGTGGGTCAGTGGATTGCATACTGCACTTCCGCATCTGATTGTACACTATAGGCTGCAGGCTTCCAATTTGCAGGAAGTTTGGCAGGTTATTCATGTTAGATGTCGCATTTCCTTCTTGTCGGGGCTTGCGGTGTGGCTTCAATTGTCTGGGAAGTGTTTTAGGCCCATTCCAGGCTTATGGGGTCAGCTCGATCGACTTGGTCCATGCATCGACTGACTTCTTCGTGCGCTGCAGGAAGGAAGGCGCAAAGATCAATGCTTCATTGGCTGCGCTGAAGGAGTGCATCAGAGCAGCTCGGCACTTGCTGTGGTTTGGTGTGGGTACGCGCAAGCTGCCTGATTATCGCAGCGCACGATCACAGCCTTCTATATTCTATAGGTGCGTTGCACAGGTTCGAGTCTTGTAACAAGAAATTGTTGACAGCGCTTTTCTGAGTCTGGTTTCCGTTGTCTCCAAGCAATCTATGGAATGGAGCTTCAACCGTTTGCAGAGCCTTAACCAGTCGCGAGAGCATAAGCCCAATGACGCTACTTCTTGTCTGCAATGATTGTCCAAGAACCTTGATTGCTAAGTGACTGGGATGGGAAATCAGTTCTTACTCGCAACCGAATTGGAAGGCCAGGGCGTCGAATTCGAAGTTCATCGCCTTCCGACAAAATCGGCTCACGCAGCTCCTCAGGGGCTGTTTCCTGCCAGGCCAGGGAGCAGCCGAAGGGTCGCGTCGGGTGCAGCTGGTTGTGGCTGTCGGATTGGATTTCTTAACGCTTCCTGTGGGTTCCATGCCTCGTGCACCTTTGCTTGACTGCCCTCTCTGCCGTGGGCAGTCCACTTTAAGTCTGGAGCCAGCTCTGCAGCAGCCTGTGCCAGTAGCAGTGGGATCGCATGCTCCAAAGTATCGCATGAAGTCATGGCGGTATGGTCATGAGAGGCCAATCAAGCTAAGTCTTCCTGAGCAGTTTCCAGACACAGACTGTAATCTGGCTTTCAGGCTTCGGTGTAGTGAAGTTTCACGTTCAACCCTCAGCCATGGCCAAATGCTGCGCTTCTTCGTTTCCATCCTTGCTGCTGCCTGTCGGCGGCACATTGCATGTTTTGATGTGCCAGCTTGGGCAGTTAATCGTGATCTGCAGAAGTTCGATTTTGAGAGACCACACTTAGAATCACTTAGATCTCGAACTATCTTGGGCTCATGTGTTCGATTGCTCGAAGCAAGCTAGTCCGCTGTCACATGAACGGAAGCAATGATGCAGATGATGCGCTGTCGCCAGCAGGAACTCCTGCTGCAGCGACAACCACGAGAAGCACTTGGAAGAGACCGTGCCTGTCACGAAACTGATGCCACAGCTGCAGAGCTTTGGCTGCTAAGCGTGCGCGCGTGCATTTGTGTACTCTGGCGAGGCATCCCCTTGGATCATGGATTCATTGCCCAACTACTATCACCTGTTGCCAGGAAGCCTGTGAAAGAGCAAATGCCGCATCCCGAAGAGGACGATGAGGAGCTTCAGCGCGATCAGTGCACTTGCCACTTCTTGGAATTGCTTTGGGCACAAATCTATGCCCATCGCGTTGATGTCCGAAAGCCCTTAAGAACAGGAAGAACCGCAACAAGTGGCCATTTAGCCTCAATGAGCTGCTTCAGCTCGTTGCAAGGAGACACACTTTCGGCCTGTGACTCGCCGGGTGAGACTGTAATTCGGCATTTCAGAAGAAGCGGCAATGTTACAACCTTCCATGTGTGGCCTGCGGCGATAGCACATCAACTCACTTCACAGCAGCTAGTAGCACCCGAGGCCCAAGAACTCTGTGTTTCCGCTCCGACCAGACAGGTCCGGGCCGGCATGAAGGTGTCTGGTACCACTGCTTCCATGGGTCGCCAGTCCATGTATTGCTTGGTGACTTTGGCAGAGGTGTCTGCAGGGCCTCCCATGTTCTACATTTTTTAGAAGCGCTGTTTCCATCGTGCCCCACTGCTCATGCCAGGCGTGCGTTACACGGTCGTTCTGGATTCTTGGCGGCACAAAGCTGCGCCTTTCCTTTCTCTTGGGTCAAGAAGTGGTAATGTTTCTCGTGTTCGAAAGCCCTGAGCCCTTTAATGAGAGACGTCCCCCGACGAGGGCAGCGACTCAGGATGGCTCAGAAGAGAGACAATTCGGTCTGGACTTTGAGCTTATTGACCCACTCAACTGCCGCACGGCATCGACGAAGGAGCTTCCGGCTCAAAGTCCGGGAGGTGAATAAGTGCAGGGTGTGTTGGGTTTGTCGTTGAGTGGTCGGAAGCTAGCTGCAGAGCTGATCTTGAACCATCCCGGGCTCCCATCGAGTTGTGCGCTTTGACAACTGTTGCCACTGGGTGTCAATTCCGACCGAAGATGATTGCACCATGAGGAGGTTCCCACTGCCTTTTCAGCTTACCGTGCGAGTATCGAGGACCGTGCTCTTGTCAGGATGTGCCTTTGCTAAGGCCTCATCGGAGGCGTGAATGATGCTGGGCTTCTGCGCTGCAATCAGTCCCACCGTAGTCAGCCATCGTGAATCGTCGAGAGTGGGTGATTTCGACGAAACACGGGGTGACGCTCGTGATGATTCGCAGCAGGCGGCCTTGGCTCTCAAAAAGCCTTGGGCTTCAAGCATATGCGCAGACGTACGGATCGGATCGATCGAGAGATGTCTAGAGAAAGAAGTACAGGAGCTACTGGTGCCTCTGCAACGACCATCGAAGGCCGCACATGATACATGCAAATATGTATGGGTTCAGTGAGATCCTTTGGCCAAGAGAGCTGGAACATGGGCATCTTCCTCGTGGTGAAAGCGTGCTTGAATGCCAAAAGCGGTCTGCTTGATGAAGAGGCACGCAGCCCACAAAGGCATGCAGCTGGTCGCGCCATTCTCTGCTGTGCTTGTTACCATGTTCGTATATGCGCATGTCTTTTGATCGCAAATGGTGGCGTTTCCTACTTGCTGCCGGTGTCTGGAAGACTTGGATCCCCAGCCCTTGTGCTGGAAGTGTTTTTCCAGTTTTTCGGGGTTCGGTCACCGAACACGGTTGGGGCGGCGACTGCAATTCGACAGCTGGTGCGAAATGTCCAGTCGTCAGCCTCTGCCAACTGTGAGGCAAGCTGCATTCTGGAATGCCTCAGTGCCGTATGGGCAGCGCATTCGAAGGACACTTGACTCAAAAAGCCTGTTGCCCAGTTGGTGTTGGTGTTTTTGTTGTTGTTGGTTGTGGTGGCGCTGGTGGTGGTGGCGGCGGTGGTGGTGGTGGTGGTGGTCGTCGTGGCGGTGGTGGTGGCCATGGTAATGGCGGTGGCGGTTGTGGTGGTGGTGGTGGTGGTGGTGGTGGTGGTGGTGGTGGTGGAGTGGATGTTGGCGGAGGTGGTGGTGGTGGTGGTGGTGGTGGTGGTGGTGGTGGTGGTGGTGGTGGTGGTGGTGGTGGTGGTGGTGGTGGTGGTGGTGGTGGTGGTGGTGGTGGTGGTGGTGGTGGTGGTGGTGGTGGTGGTGGTGGTGGTTTCTGTTGTTGCTATTGTTATTCAGTTGATTGTTCTTTGTTCTTTGCAAACTTTGTTTATTCTTGTTCTTGGTGGTGATTGTGGTGATGCGGTCGTGGCGGTGATGTTCGTCCTGGTTGTGGTAGTGGTCTTGTGGTGGTGATGGTGGCGGTATAGGTGGCAGTGGCGGTGGTGGTGGCGTTGGTTGTGGTTGAGTGTTGTTGGTTCTGGCTGGTTGTGGTTGTCTTGGTTGTGTTTGTTGTTGTTGTTGCCGCTTGTGTGGTTGGTGCTGTTGCTATTGCTGTCCATCTCCACCACCACAACAACAAGCAAAGAAACAAACAAAACACAGCCAACACCAACCAAGAGCCAACAAACACCAAACAACAATCACCAACACCGCTTGAGGGGCGGCTTGCTGGTTCGTTATTGTGAGGGGCCTGAAGGGCTTTAGCCTCAGGTGGTGCCTGTCGCTGCTAGACTCTATAGAGCCTCTGTTTGCAATGCAACGGCAGAGAGACAAGCGGACAACAACAGCAACAACAACAAGAAGAAGAAGGCATGCGCGCCTCGCCTTTCGCCGCCACGGAAGAAGGTATATCGATTGCGTTTGGAAGGATGTCGAGCACAGATGAATGCGGAAGTGGTGACAGTGAAAACACCGGCAGGTGCAGTGAATTCGAAATGTTGTTTCAAAAGTGGCCACGTTGGCATGCATGGAGAAGTGTGGCAGGCGTGGGTTAAGAGGCATATTTTGCACATTTTGGTTTAAGTGCCAGACCCGGTTGAAGAGACAACATCCGTATATAAAAAGCAGGAATTCATCGGTCTGCGTGGGGTTTCGTGGCATTGGCAAAAGTGTCGATTTTCAGTAGAGTGTGTCTGGAATTCGAAGGCACGGTGTGACAATGTGTAAAACGAAAAGCTGGCGAAAAGTTGCTTTTAATCTCCTATTTCCAGGGTTGACGTAGGTAAAGGTTTAGGTCGAGGTCTTTCTGACGTGAGCCGTGCAGGTTGAGGGCTTGCGCGTCAGATCTTGGCATTTGGGGCTTATATAAGGCCCGCAGCACCACCAAAAAACTAAGAACAACTTGGGCCAGAAGGATTCAAGTGGCAGCACAATAACGTAGGGCTTGGGGCTTTGGGTCCTGAAGACTAGGCTTAGGGTTGAGACTAGCTTTCGGACTAGCATCCCACCCCACACTGTCAAAGTAACATGTCGATGCGGGGCATGAAATAAGGGCAGCGGATCTCAAATGACCTGGTAAGAAACTTGCCTTCTGAAAACCAGCCAATACTTTGTAAAAGCCATGCTTTTCGGCTCTTGATGCACAAAAATCAAGACATAAGTAAATACAACGCGCAGGAGCAGTCAACAGTTGTAGATGATACTGTAAGAACCACAGGATTGGATCTGCCCGAAAGCAATGCCTTCTGTAAACAAGCAAAAACACCGTAAATACCGTGTTGCTCGCTTCTCGACGAGCAAAAACCCATGCAAATAGACACATTCCAGCAAGGGTCCGCGCGGAAGACCAACACGCAGGAGCAGTCCGCAGGTGTAGAAAACACTGTAAATACCATAGGATTCGACATTTCCGTATGCAATTACCCCACCCCCCCCACCCCCACCGCAGTGGAGTAGCAGACCCTCCATGGCGGCAAGAAGCGAGCACAACAACAACAACAACAACAACAACAACAACAACAACAACAACAACAACAACAACAACAACAACATTTTTCATTCACACGCAGCGGGAGGATACTGTCTGACTTGCTCCCAGGCGCTGGCGGCTGAACAGAAGTGAAGCGCAGAAAACACTCAACCGTGACGAAGAACTCTCGATCGCACTGGCTTCGTAGCAGCTGGTGGCAGTCCACTGTGCCGTTGAAGGAAAAACTAGTGCTCGAAGAAGACTGCATGAGAATACCAGACGATCCGTGTCCTTCTTGCGGAGGTGTACCAGTTAAAGCGCAAAACCAGAGCGCCAGCAAAACTGCGCAGGAGAGACCGTGAGCTGTACCTGGGTGTCTTGTCGTGTAGCTGGAAAGTCGAAGAGAGGAGCGGAACGAGGCCTCAACTCGAAAGCTTCCTTCAGGATACCCAGGTGCAGAAGATGGCCAACCCATGACTGGGGCCGCCCCTTGAATGGCTTGGTGCGGCAGGTCCTTTTGTAAATGTAAAAGCATCGGCAGGAGAAAAGTACT